CACCACTTCTCCGTCCATCCTGAGGCCGAGTCCCACATACAGCAACTAGAAGGATGTGCAGCTATGACATACAACTATCTACTGGGCCTTTGGGGGGAAAAAATAAAATAAATAAAAAAAATCTTTAAACTGCTCCAAATAAACAGTATAGAATAAGCCTTTTGTATTTTCTGACCATTTTGTAATTGTCACATCTGTAGAGTAATATATTATGCATTTTGAACAAGGTATATCTTTGTTACCCAAAACATATTACTTTATTAATATCTAATACAAGCTTTGTGAATTATGTGGGAATGGGGGTATATGAGAGATTCCAGCCAGATTGACTAGAACAGCAGGGAGGAGGTGGAGGAAAAGTGGTAGGACGACACCCAGGTTTCACATATGGTGACCGACCACTGCCTTCTCTTCTGGAGATTCCCTGCCTCCCTTCACCAAATGCACCCCAGTCAGCGCATTGGCACTGGAGTGACGAGGATCTCTCTGACTTTGTCTGCATCTCATTGTCTGCTCCATCACTCTGATTTCCAATTGTCTCCGTACATCTGGTTTCAGTTGTGATGTGTTGCTCTGACCAGTCCTGAAATAACATGTGCAAGACACCTAAGACAGGGCGTTTCAGTTGACTTGCAGTAAGTCCCAGCCTACCTTTGTAGCATCTTCTCTAGCCTCTACCTTCATGCTTCCGGGCCTTTACTGGTGACGTTTCCTTGGCTTGGTACACCTTTCCCTCCCTTATCCCTCCTGGATCAGTGCTTTGCTGTCATCTCGTCTGTGAAGTCTCTGTTCTCCAGAGTGCTGCTGTCTTCCAGCCTGCAGAGCTGTGACATTCCTCACAGTTGCAACAGCACTTACTGCCGTCAGCATGAGGACAGTTGTGCAGGCAGTGGTGTCTCCAAAAGATGGTGAGGTTTCGGATGTCAAAGATTGCACTTGCTTTGTGTTTGTGACCCCAGCAAGGAGAACCTTGGTGAACAACGACTTGAACTGATTTGGCGCCTGAAGGGAGAACATGAAGGAGAGAGAGGGTGGAGCTGGGTCAGAATGGTGAGATCTTGGGGCAGTAGAAACTGGGGGCAGTGATGTAGAGTAGAATGCAGACTTCAGAGATTTATGCTTTTGAATGTGCATACTCTGAATTTTTTTTTTTGACTTAAAATGTGCCTAATTGTTTACATTGGAATGGCTGCCATGAGTTACATCAGATGGAGACTTGTTTCATCTCTATGAGAAGACAGCCTCGAGATATGCACTGTGTGCACTGTTTTTTTAAACATTTAGTTAATTTGTTCCTCTAAATATCTTTGTGAGGTGGGATGGGGATTTTAAAGATAAGGGGATAGAGGACATAGGCATAGTCACACAGCAGTTAAGCACCGAGTCACATGCACCACAATCACGTACTAAACACTTGGGTTTAGCCCTGACATCGCAGCCCCTGCTCGTCACGATTGCCATCGCAGGGCCGGGTGTTCCCGAGGGAGGAGCCCCGGGAGAGGACTAACCCAGGGTGATCCTGACCCAAGGAACACCTGTGACGTGGCCCTTGTCATCATTACCTCCACATCTGCCCCCTGTTCCTGACGTGACTGCGCTGTCCAGACTCTCATCACTTGTGCCCAAGTCCTGCAGTAAATCAGCTTCCCTTGCTGCTTTCCAGTCTAATCTTTTTTTTCCAGGGTTTCTATACACATTTTAAATTGAGGGGTTCCTCTTGTACATGGTGGCTATTCCGTTGTTGTGTTTTGATGATTAGGGTTTTTATTAGCCCTGTAATGATCTCTCCCTTCCCATGGAAGGCTTTGCACCTATCTTCCTGTTCTCTTAGCTCATCTATGGAGGCCGTGCCAGCAAGCTCAATTGCAAGATGCCTGTCACTCAGGTTCCTGCTGTTCAGTGATGATGCAGTTAGTATGCTTTAATGACCCTGTGAGGGATGTATTTTTAATGGAATTGCCTTCAGTATTTACGTCCTTCTGTTTTCCTTGAGACCAACGTGCTCAGAATGTGAATCTAAACCCTTTGCCCTCTCATTATGCAGTGGGAGTCAGACACATTAAATTAATTGACTGTGGCCCTAAGTTTCCTACACCCAGTCTGTGTTTTAATCCAGTGACTTAATGCTTGCTAGGCATTGGGCACGTGAACCGTTAATCCATTTATCATTTTTGGTAAGTTACTTCTGTCTGCTGCATCATCCTCAGTAGACACTGTGCCCTTTATATATCGTGTGAGTCATGGGGCTGTGGGCACTGTCAGCCCTGTGATTAAAACCTGCTGTGCTTCCAACACAATAAACTGCGCATGAGCTTCAGGAGCCAGTTTTCTTAATGTGCTTCACTTCCGTTGTTTTTTGTTTTTAGTTTTTGCATATAGCTCAGTGAGTCTTCGGATAGTAATGGCCAGACATTAGGTATGGAGAGCCTTGTTTCAAAGATCTTTTGAACAGGATCAGCGTTGGCTGGGCGCAGGGATCCTCAGTTTCCTTCAGACTGTTGCTGGGAGGCCTCGCTCTGCATTTGCGGGCTTCCCTGTGGCAGAAGGAGTTGAGCCTCCTCTGTTCCCCTCAGAGTCTTGGTTACCAAATATTACCAACTCGACACCCTTCATAAAGACTTCACCATAGGCACTTCTCCCACTTCCTCCAGCCACTGCTGCCAAAAAGCAGCTCTTGCTCACAGAAAACTGGGTTGGCTTTTGAAAACTTCTTTCTAAACCTACTCTTGCACACCTCGTATGAATACCCAGAACGATGGAAGGCAGAACGTTGATCGGCAGTCCTATAAGTAACGTTAATTAACCAGTTCAGACAAATATTTGTCATTGATATTTTCATATTGTAATGTGTTGCCGGTTGTTATTGTAAATACTCAAAAAACCGAGTGCCCAGATGGACTGACTCACCTCCCCACCTCCGCAGACTACCACCTCCACCAGCCGTTCTCTCGTACCCTCCCACCCGCCTGCCATGAAACATGGTGTAAAACAATAACTCAAGAAAGGGAGGCTGCACCAGGTAGCGAAAAATCAAAGACAGCGTCATCTGATAAAGCCTTGAGGGCCTTTCAGATGCCCAATGGATGTTATAGTCTAATGGGAAGATTCTAAGTAAGAAAATAAACGAACCAGTGGTTTAGGAGGCTGGTGTGTGTTCTGAAGTAAATGAAACAAGGCAATGGGATAGAGGCCGTTTTAGAGAGGGCCGTCAGAGAAGGCCACGTGCCTCTCTGAGGGGGTGACGTTGGAGTCGAGAGCTGAAAGAAGCCCACCCAAAACATGAGCAGCATGAGGAGCAAGCGCAGGAGGAGCCAAGGACAGGAGGGTGTCAGGCAGAGGCACCCCCAGGACAGAGGGACAGGAAGAGGTGGCCTCTCCCAGCCCGACTGGGTCCTAGTGACACTGCTCCCCTCGGCTTTCATCCCTTCTTGCGTGCCAAACCCTGACCCCCAAAGAGAGCCATTAAACAAAGCCTTTTCCCGTGAGGCCAGGGGCAGTTGCTCCCACAGTCCCTCTCTTCCAGCCAGCATAGCTCTGGGACGATTTTCTCTCCTGGATGTCAGGCACTTCAGGATCCAAAGACAGAGGAGCAGACCCACAATTAACTTATCTAACCTTGTGACTAACATGGGCAAAAATCCGTTTTTCCTTCTTTAATTACATACATGTTTGCTTTCCCCGAAAAACCACTGCTCCTAGGGCTGGCCTGGCTGGTAGCTAAGACTGAGAGACTGGAGGGATTCCTGCCCCACCTGACCGTTGCACTTCTTGGTGTGCTGATTAGGTGTACATCCTCTGCTGGGTAAACGTGCTAGGCTTCAGTGCTCTTTCATGAACTGAGCAGAACCAGATGAGAAATACGTCAGAAGGCTGCCACTGACAGGCCAAGTTTCAGGCAGGATGTGGCTGCTTTATGTCTCGGACTACCAGCGAGAAAAGTTGCAGCTCAGAAGCCAAACGGACAGGCGAGAGCCTAGCCTCTTATCTACAAAATTAGAAGCCATTCTTAAAATACCCCAGGCTTTTATTGATCTATTTCCTAATAGCGCTCTAAGTAGGAAGTGAAATTTTTAATGGTCCTTAAAGATCTTGCAAATGTCATCAACTCATTGTGTACAGATCTTGGAGGATAAGGGGAACCTGGGACTACTAAGTAAGGCCCGGGCAGCGTTCTGGGAGAAATTAGAGGAGAGAAGAGGAAAGAGTGCCTGTGAAAGAATTTCTAATCCCATGTGGATTTGGGAATGGGACAGACACAGGAAAATACAGTGAAGCTTGGGTCTAGCAGGAGGTAGAGATGGTACTGCCGGTGGTTCAGGGCATGGAATCAGATTACTTGAGTTCAAATCTCAGTTCCACAACTTGTTTCCTATGTGACCTTGGGAGGCTTATTTAATTGTTCTGAGCTTCAGTTTCCTTATCAGTAAAATGAGGACAATCATAATGACACTTATTAAAAATATCAGTCTAGATAATTCACATAGAGAGCCTAGCACCAAACCCGGCCATGTGGTTTTCTTTACTGTTGGACAGTCCTCCTGGAGTTGCTGTGGAATGGTTTCTGGCCAGTCTTGCAGTGGTCCTTCCCTTAGGGAGGGGTTAGCAACCTTTGCTTTTTAAATATTAGTTTCTATTTTATTGGGCAATGTGTGATCACCAATTAGCAGTGGGTGGGACAGAAAGAAGCAGATAGAGCCAAGAGCAAAGGAGTCGTAAAAACAGGACCGCACAAATGGCATGTGAAATGGAAACTCATTTCTAAATTTTTGACTGCTCTCTGTTCTTCCTTCCCTCACTTCCTGGCTGTTAAAGGTTTTACTCTGCATAACCTACACCCCGACCTTTGACCTGAATGGGAGCGCGGTGCTGAAGATTGCAGAGGTGAGTGCCCACTTCTCCCCTAGACTGCCATGCTGCTCGTGTTTGTGTCGCCTGCTCACAGCCGCTCTTCTCCATCTGGGATAAGTGTTGGGGTGGAGCGGGGCCCTAGCAGTGGGGTGAGCCTTCTCTGATCATTGCTGTGGGAAGCAGGCCGTGTGGTCCAGCATCTGTGGTCGTGATGCTCTGCATGCTGTGGTTGCTGTGAGGCTTTAACCATGGAAATAACAGTACTGGTTCTCCCTGCTCTGCTACCTCGACCTATTATTGTTCCTACTGTTGCTTTCTTGGTCTGTTTTTCCTAAGATTAATTGAAAAGCACTTGATTTTAAAAATAGTTTTTAAGAAACCAAGTATGAGATTTAGAGAGATGTTTATTGATTAACTTCCATCCCATCTCCTAAACCCTGCTGAATGCATTTTGTGACTATCATTGGAAAGCCTTCTCTTTCTGTCTGTATTACAGCCTAGGGTGGTATGTACCTTCCAGCACTCCCGAGAGTATGTCCAACAGGAAATTTGGCTTTGGGCTGCTGGCATGTGCCTTCAGCTTTTGGAAACATCGTCGTTCCAAAGCTGTACCTTAATATGCTTAGAATAATTTTCCTTCCATTTCTTGATAAGAATATCTTCAGGATTCGTATGTTATGACAAGAGTACACATTCAGACCTCAAAGAGGCAATGGTTTTCTGAATTCTGAAATTATGGGGAAAGAGAAAGCATGTTAGTGCTCATAAGAGTTTTTTTGTTTTGTTTTGTTTTATGGTAATGATTACCATTTATTGAGTATACCAGGTAGATGCTAAGCACTTTAGGCATATTTTCTTTTTTCTTCTTTTTCTCATCATTAATGAGGTATAATTGACAAATACAAGTTGAATATATTTAAGATGTACAACTCTATGTTTTCAGAAACATACATTGTGAAATAATCACCACAGTCAAGCTAACATATCTGTCCCCTCACATAGTTAACATTATCATGGGTAGTATTTTAGTACTTAGATTGGCCAATACATGTGCTTTTATGGTATTGTATGACATTAAAGAGTGCAAATTAAGAGAAAGCTATTTTTGAACACAGAAAACATTTTTATGTCTCTATCAAAAGAAAAAGCAGAAGTTAGCTGACCCGTCAGTACAATATAAATCACTTCTCAAATGCCTGTTGTGTAGGTAGAATGTTTTTCTATAACACATTTATATGTTTTACTCTATGTAACTAAAGAACTAGAATAGCTACCAGTATTTTTAAATTGAATTTTAAGGGACACCTGTGAGTGCTCTTATTGTTTGCAGGTTCACTTTTTTTTTTATTGTGGTAAGAACACTTAACCTGAGATCTACCCTCATAAATTTTTAAGTGTACAATCCAGTAATGTTAACAGTGTTGTGCAGCAGATCTCGAGGACTTATTCATCTTGCGTGGTTGAAACTTCATACCTGTGGAATAGTGACTCCCTGTCCCCCACCCCAGCCCCCGGCCACCACCATTCTAGGCTCTGTGTCTGGGAGTTTGTTTTAGAGACCTCATGCCAGTTTGCTTTTAAAATGACAAATGTAGTTTCTGATCATAGCAAGAGACAGGACTGGTGTGTAGGAGGCCTGTTGGCCCTTTGCCATGTGAAGGACAAGAAAGGAAATGCACATGTCACCGCCCAGCCACTGCCCCGCCGGTCCCCCTGCTGCTGGAGCTGGTGCAGGGGGACAGGGTGTTGCAGAACCCTCAGGAGGGGAGGGCTGCCAGGGATTCCCAGACGCCCCTTGAGAGGAGGAGTGGGTTGCCTTTATCATCCTCCCAGGAACCAGGTTTTGAATGAGAATCTGGAAGCTTCAAGATGTAATACCTGAACAGCAGACACGCACGGCCAGGGACACCAAGTCAAGGGTGTTCCCTGAGGGCGTCTGGAAGCCAGAGGAAGGACTCAGCAGGCCTGTCCAGACAGGGTGAAACGTCGAGCACGGAGGTCTCTACCAACACCAGTACAGAAAAACACACTTGTGTTCTGAGGAGGACCTCAGCCCCCGAGCCGTGTAAAGATGCAGGCCTCCGAGCGGTAGGGTGAGAGCAGGGCTCCGCAGCCACCCTGTTTGGGTGTAATTCCGGCTCTGCCACCTCCCCGTGGTGTTGCTGTGGATACCTCCCTGTCTTCCTGTTTGTTCCCTGGAAAGGTAGTGCTCATGGTACCTGTCTCGTAGTGTGGCTGTGCAATTAGACAGGAAAACAGAATCCACGTGAGGAGCTTGTAGTGCAGATCCAGCTGCGTAGTGGGTGCTCGGTCCATGTTAGCTGCCTTTGTGCTGGAGCTGCAGGTTGCTGATGATGTCCAGCTCCCACTACATAGTGTCGATCTGGCCAGGACCCTGAAAGGATGGGTCATGGATCGGACAAGCTTGCTCCCGCTTCTCATCCCGCCTGCAGCCCTCTGAGGTCCCCTAGCTGGAAAAGAGCTCCCAGCAGAACATCAGTGCAAAGGTAATGAAGCAAGGCCAGCTTTGGCTTGTCCATCATGCCAAAGGCTTGGGACTGTATTCCTCTGAAGGAAGGACGTGGTGAAGATCTTGAAAACAGACTTTTCATCCTGTATTTGATAGTGGAGGTCCTCCCTTTACAGTGTGCAGGCTCCCAGAAGATGTTGTTAGTTCCTGCCTCTCCTGCAGACCCACAAGCAGATCCTTCACCTCCTGTCCAAGGCAGGACTTATGTCTTGGCTGCCAGTTCTCCCATGCCTCGCTAGATCCTCCACTCTGCTCGGGTGACTGGACACGCTGGAGGATCCACCAGCATAGCAGGGTAGGGAGGCTGCTTCGTAGCAACACCAGAGACACCATTTCAAAATGATTTTGATAAATGGCAGAGTGCAGACTAGCTCATCTGTGCCAGTGTGGTACCTGGCATAACCACCAGCTTCAGGAGAGTAAGACCCCGAATCTTCTGTCTGGCCAGTCCGTGGGTAAGGACATTTACAAGCTAATCTGCTAAGAGGGGCTGAGTGATCCGTGAGCACGACGAGCACACAGGTGCCAAGGTGGGGGGTTCACTCTGTCCCACTGCGCTGATCAAGAAGCCGCCCACAGAAACACCCTGGAGAGCTCCCCCTGCTGAGGAGAGTGGACCTTTATCCGTCAGGCATGGCTGCAGCTCAGCATGTGTCTGCTGGTTTCTCTGCGGCCGTTCCCTCTCAGACTCAGTCCTTCTGAGGAGGCATGAAGACATACAGTGTCACTCATGGCAAGACAAGTATTTAAACTCAGAGACAGTGTTATCCAGCTCTACCTAATATTTATTTAGCACTTTCTCTGTGCCAGGCACTTTTCTGAGATCTTTACCTATATTAAATCATGTAATCTGCACAACAATACTGTGAAGCAGGGAATATTATTATCCCTATTTTTCAGATAAGGAAACTGACACAGAGAGGTGTACCAACTTTCAAAAGTCACACAACTAGAAAGTAGTAGAACGGGGATGCAAGACTGGCCCATAAACTGAGCTTGTGGTCTTTACTCTGTGCAACACGTGCTGTCATCAGCTTGGTTGTGGGAGGCCCACTCCTGGGGGCCCTTTGCTTGCCCCTGTGTAAAGGGTGGTCATCCTAAAGGGGCTACCTCTCCCCTCGTCCCAAACCATGCTCAGGCACAAATACCCTGCAGACACAATGTTGACGTTAAACTAATCTTGCCTTTGTCTTTAAAATATATCTTTTTATTAAGAGAATTGTATGCATCAATTCACTGCTAACAGTGCTTAAAGATCACAACAGGAGACAGGCTTACGAAAGGTTCCCATGTAAGGTTGACTATTTTCAGTAGTTACTTGGTTGAACTTAGACTTTTCTTCTTTCCCCTCCTGAAGCTAACTCTCTCACATATGGGATACTGACAGGTGCAAAGCTTTGGAGGCCTTACTTTTAAGTTGGTGATTCTCGTTGAAGGCTGCACATGAGACTCACGTGGGAAGTGTTAGCAAAAATAAGATGCCTAGGGTTGCCCCAGAAATTCTGAGTGTTTTGGTCTTGGAAAGGCCTGGGCATACACATTTTGAAAAAGCTCCCCAGTGATTCTACTGTAGTCAAGTTGAGAATAACTGCTGTGATGGCTACCTTTCCCTCCAACCAGCCTTTGCTGTAAAACCGTGTTGAAGTGAGCTGTCATGTGGGCCTCCAACCAGGTGCTGTTGTCAGGGCCTGGGAGCTCGTTAGAAATGCAGAACCTCAGGCCCCATCCAGACCTACAAATCAGAATCTGCTCTACAACAAGATCCCCATGTGATTCATATGCATATTAAAGTTTGAGAAGCGCTGCCACAAGGGAATGTTGGTATAATCTCATTTTAGATGATGTTCTGCCAGATGTATGGACTTAAAACCCAGGTGAGAGCTGCCTTGCATCTCTGCCATGGCTGATCAACCCCCAAGAGTATGGAGCCCCACACAGCAGCAGCATCCTCTCAATGGCAACTCCTCAATAAGTACAAGCTCTTCTCCTAATCCCTGGCATCTTCTCTTTCATCATCTCCTCCTGCCAAATCACCTCCACATTTCCCCCTCCCATTTGTCAGTGCTTGATATTTCTCAACCTTATTTCTTAAATGTTTTAACAATTTAATCTGCTACAAATGTGTTTTCACCAATAATGCCCGTTGTCAGCCTTTAAAAAAGGAGGATCATGCCACCCACCCCATTCCGTGTTTATATAGTCTGGCATAAAATGAGCACAGAGTAGATCTATTTATATGAAAAGCATAACAACAACTTACATTATAAATAGAAGCATAGGGATCAGTAGTTACAAATATTAGATTATTAGATGAATAATGTATAGGTAATTTAGGGTAATAGTAGACTCATCTGAAATCATTGTTTACCTCAGATACACAAAATAGGAATAAACATTTATAGGCCTTCATTTTATCTTTCCTCAAATTTGCAAAATAGCTTAGAGCCTTTTGGTTTTCACCATAGAAATCACTTAAGAAATGCTTTTTCATCAACAAAAAGAA